CAATGAAGCACAAATTTCATTTATTTGCCTTGACTTGGAAGTGCAAGCTTCAGAGAAACTAACCTTGAAAGTTTTAAATTTGTGTGATCAAAGTTGAGATCATTTTCCTGGTGTTCCATCTTCTAAAGGTGTGCCACTTAGATGCAGGTCTGCAAAAGTCAAAGCCTTTGCTACGTCATAACTGGTGCTTTGAAGCAACGCTGGGTTTGTAAAAGCTTAAAATCAAGAACTTCCAAACAAAGGAGAAAAGCTGGGTGCTCAAAAACTTCTTTTAAAAGTCTTCAGCTGATCCAAAATTCTGCTGCCGGACTTTAAATCCAAGTTGACAGGCGAGATCATATCTCTCCAGTTTTAGCTTCTCTCCATTGGCTCCCTGTCAAATTCAGAGTCTTACTTCTAATCTACAAAGCTCTCAACAACCTAGCTCCATCTTATATTGCAGATCTTATTGTTCCATATTTTCCTAATGGAGCACTTCGCTCTCAGACTGCAGGTTTACTTGTCGTTCCTAGAGTTTCCAAAAGCAGAATGGGAGGCAGATCTTTCAGTTATCAGGCTCCTCTCTAGTGGAACCAACTTCCAGTTTATGTCCATTGACACATTGTCCAGTTTTAAGACTTTCCTTTTTGATAAATCCTATAGTTAGGTCCAACAATTTTCAGTCAGGTCATCTGGACAATTTCTTTTTTTGTGCTGAAACATTTCACCTTCCATCCAGAAGGCTTCATCAGTCAAAGAAACACACAACACAAAACTGATTCTTCCCCCAACAACTTAGTCCAAATTGGAACAAACCAGTTTTGTTGGTGCTAAGATGGTGTCTTTGGCACGCCCCCTCCTCCGGTGCCGGTCCTCTTCCTCATCTACAGTCATGTCAAACTGGTTCAAAACCAACAAAGTCCTTGCTCAATAATCCAGTTAGGGTAGAGTTAGGGTTGGGTTGAATGTGTTAACCACACCAAACCAAATCTGAAAAAGAGTTTTAAGGATGTGACAAAGCTAAAAATTCCTAAAAAGTGAAAAAATGCATAAATATCAAAAGTCACAGCAGGGAGGTCCTGAATGAGTTGAAAGTTTGATATGTGAATTTTTATTTTTATTTTTTGCTGCACTGGTCGTCAAACGAGGACTAATGAGCACAACATTAACTCTGCGGCAGGACAGTGACCATGAGTAGACCAACAGACCCATGAAGACTGGATCAGCTCCACCTAAGGAAGCCTGGGTGACAGTCAGCTTGTAGGATTCCTGGGTCTTCCAGCCACGCTCACGCTCCACACCTGCAGACCATGTGCAATCAGCCACCACTCCACTCCTGCTGATGATGAGGAAGGACTGCTCTGCTGGGCATAACAGCTCCTGCCAGACGTTCTCCCAGTGCTGGGGCATTACCTATGAACTGGTAACTAATGGACAGCAGACTAAATCTGTGTCCTAACAGTATTTAACAAACCTGTGTGATTTCCTTCAACGACTTCCAAGACCTGTCTTCTAAGACCTCCTCACTCTCCTGGATGTTGTCCCTTCAAACATCTGACAAGTGGCTGAAATCAACAACGCCCAACCTGGAACAACCTGCTCCTCTCTCCTCCGATACTTCCTCTGGATGTTCAAACTCTCCCCCGTGGAAAACCTAGGACCTCCTCTTCCTCTCTGGCTTCATCTACAAGACATACCAGAAGAATTAATCTGCCGTTTATCAACCATCGCTGCAAGTTTATCAAACAAGATCACCTCATCCCTTTTCCCTTCCAGCCCTGAAGCTGCTGCACCTGTAAATAAAATAATTTACCTGTTGTGCTCCTGGCTCTGTCTTCTTCTCATTCTGCTAACTTGGGGTGAACTTAACTCTAAACATGATACAGCTGATCCGGACCAACGGAGTGAAAGCTGTCATGCTCACCTGCGCCCCTCCAAAACAAAGTAAATCCTCATAAACGTTGTGACAGAACATATCCCTTTAAAATGACCGAACTCTCCCTTTAAGCTTCTGTAAAACAGGTTTCTGAAGCACGTTGCGACGTCTAGCTCACATTCTCCATGCGTCAGCTGCAACTGAGTGAAAGGCAAGTTGCTGCAGAACAAAAGTGAATCCTGTAATCCAGATTCAGTTAACAACACACTGAGACAAAGATTAATTAGACGCACGTATGCTCGTGTGTTGGTGTAGGGGAGTGAAAGAGAGATGAATAAAAGCAGAATGCTAATCCGGTGATGAATCTGTGTGTATTTTGGTGCTGGCACCTCTGATTTATCACCAACACTTTATCCAAGGTCCTGAAATTAGCAAGTCGCTCCGGAAGATGGAAGCCCCGGAGTTCAGCGATGGTGAGCCTGCAGCTGTGTGCACGCCTGCAGCTGTGTGCACGCCTGCTCATGGGCTCACCTCTTCAGCAGCTTTTGAATCGGAGACTGTTTGTGCTCTTGTGTGAGCTGCAGGACCGTCAGTGAACCAGTCATGATCACACCACAAAGAATTCCTTCACGGCTGGGACAAAAGCTTCTTCAACGTTATTCCCACTTTAAAGAACGTGTACAAAATATTACCCGAGCGCTGGAGTAAAGTGGACTCTCTGAAACGAGAGAACAAATCCTGATGATGAAAAGTGCTGAAGGGACTCGGGCGGGACCATTTGTGAAGATGTAGTTGTTAGAGCAGGTCCAGGGCCCGGGACGGACACTGCAGAGGCTGATTTAGTGAAACAGGACGAAGCAGCTCTCGTCTGCCTGAACTTCTTCCTCTGGCTCTTTTCTGAGGTCTAACCCCCCGTCCCTGAGGAATTTGAATAGTGAGTGTTTGTAGTTTTTGAAGTGAGTGTTTTTGACTCAAGATATTGAAGTGAGGAGTTGCAGTACTCTCTTACCACTGTGTGTAAGCAGAGGGTTGTTTTTTCTGGGGGGGTGGGTTGTAATTCCACATTTTTGTGCTAATTTCAGCTTTTCTCAGCCTAATTCAGCTAAATGTGCTTTCTCCACTTCCTTCTGGTAATTTTAGCTTTTTTCTGCCTTTTCAGCTACTTTTCAGCTGTTATTTTTTTTTTTTTTTTTTTTGCTAGTTTCAGCTTTTTCTAGATAATCAGAGTCAGAGTCAGAGTCAGAGTTTCTTTATTGTCATTCGCACCTCATGTGGTACATGTGGTGGAGCGAAATTATGTACACAGGGTCCCAGTTACATCCAACAATAAAATGTATAAGAAAAACAGTAATAACATCTAAGATATGAACCAAGAAAAACATCAACTAAATATACACTAAGCACTCATAACATAAAACATTGAACATCAGCACAAACATGAACATGAGTCCGCGAGCAGATGTGCACGCATGAACACACCAACATTGAAACAGATCAGCAGCAACATGAAACAGATCAGCAGCAACATGATATGGTTTTTCACAGTGATTATTCTGGTTAGAGATTCATGAGTCTAACAGCCTCAGGGTAGAAGCTGTTCCTCAGTCTAGTGGTTCTACACTTAATGCTCCTTAACCTCCTTCCTGAGGGGAGTGGGGCAAAAAGTGTGTGTGCTGGGTGGGTGGGGTCCTTCATGATGCAGGTGGCCCTCTTCCTGCATCTGGAGGTGTAGATGTCTGTGATGGTGGGGAGGCTGATTCCAACAGACTTCTGTGCAGCCTTCTCTAATTTCTCCATTTCTGTGCTCATTTCAACTTTTTTCAGCCTCGTTATGCAAATGTGGTTTCTTTCTGCTTTCTTCTGCCAATTTAGGCTCGTTCGACCTTTTCAGCTATTCAGCGTGTTGTTTTTAGCTACTTTCAGTTGTTTTCAGATATATTCATGTTTTTTTTTTGTGGTAAATTCTGTTTCTTTCAGGCTAATTGAGCAAATGTGTGCTCTTTCCACTTCCTTCTGCTAGTTTAATCTTTTTTTTTTTTTTCAGCTTATTTTTAGCTAAAAAATTTTGATAATTTCAGCTGTTTTCAGAAAATTTCACCATTTTTTGTGGTCATTTATGCTTCTTTCTGCTACGTACAAAATGGTTGTGCTTTTTCTAATGTCTTTCTGCTAATTTCAGCTTGTTATGCTCCTTTTCAGCATAGTTCTGCTATTTTCAGCTTTTTCTGCTATTTCAGCTATTATTCAGCTTTTATGCTAATTTAAGCTTGTTAAATTAATTCCACTTTTTTTTCCTCTCATTTCAGCTCTTTCCGCTTCCTTTTGGTAGTTTCAGCTTCTTTCTGCCTTTTCAGCTATTTTTTTTATTTGAACTATTTTTTTTTTTTTAGATCATTTCTTTTTGCACTCATTTCTGCTTATTTAAACCTAATTCAGCAAATGTGTTCTTTCTGCTTTCTTCTGCTAATTTAAGCTTGTTCCGCCTTTTCAACATTTCAACATGTTTTTAGCTATGTTCAGCTGTTTTTCAAAACGTTCTTCTGCAATAAGCATTCACACTGCATTTTTTGCAGGAAATACAATTCCTCTAGTTTCCTACTGATGTACACCAGATGCTTTGTGTGAATTTCAATCAAGTTTGCCCATTGGTTTCTGAAGATATTTTGCTAACAGAAAGACAAGCTTGGCTCCAACTGTTATCACCTAAGTTTTAAGCAAAGATGTGAAATTTGCAACGCTCAGAGTACGTAAGGTCAATTATTTCACCCTAACACTATTCACCCGTGTGTTCACTGCAGCGACCCCCACAAAGAGCGACTGCAGGGCTGGCTGGGTGGCAGCATGTTACCTGCAGGACCTGAGCCTCTCACTTCAGTCAGCTTTTCATGATTCCTCACTGGAAATGTCCAAACTTAAAAAATAAATAATGTTTAAAAGCTTCCCAACATTCCACCCACATTGTGTTCGTTGAATGCATCCTCAGTCCGGGTCCATTTCAAACTGCTTTCTTTCAGGACCAGATATGGAGTGGACTCTGGGCCTCGGTGAATCCTCCAGAGCAGCTTGGCACTCGAGCAGGAGATGGATGCGTACCGGACAGACAAAAATGTTTTACATCTCAGCTCAAATGTGAGGGAGGAGAGTAATGGATGTTGAAAGTGGTGTGCTGCAGGAGCAGGAGGACGATTTGAGGCGGGGGGTGGTGGTGGTGGTGGTGTTGCAGGTGAGTAAGAACGACAAGCCTGAGGGAGGGGGGGCAGGGTAAATCCAGATATCAGAAATTGCAGGTCTGTGTAGAGATGGATTGATGCTACAGCAGGAAAAAAAAATGGGCGAAAGGAGGTGGATGATTGAAATGAAAGAAAAGTAGAGGAGGGTTAGAGGACGAGGAAGGATAATCCAGTGTGATGAAAATGGAAAAAGAAGGAAAAATAGTGAACATGTTCATATATATTAAAAAAAGAAGGATTAACAGGAGAAAAAGTAAAAGACACAGAAGGTCTGAAACGGTAAAAACCACCTTTAGTCCATGAGTTTGTTGCATTTTCTCTAGTCGTGTTTGATTTATGAGCACGGAGCTCCAGAACCATCTCAGACCCGAGCTGCACCGTTCGTGATGTTTCCAGTTCAAACACACTCTGTGTTTGTCTTTAAATAATTTCTTATTGTCACAAAACTTGTACACAATGAATCTAACAAGTCCAGCCTTGGCAGAAGCTGCAGGAAACACACACACACAGCATTATCGGGAATAATCTGGTCATCCCGAGGCAGGGGTGTTTTGGCTTCTCACTTGACAGCTTTAAACACCAGGGTTTAGCAGTGGGACAGTATCATGGGGGGGACAACTTTCATTAACAACCTTTGACCTTTTTATAGACTGGCCATCCAGAGAGCGGCTCAGATCCTCCCATCTGTGCACGCTGTCATGACGCACCCCAAGGAAACAGCGAACAGACAAAATGAATGGAAAGAAGAGAACGAGAGAAAAAGTCAGTGGTACGGACAAAATCTTTTAGTGTGCTGTACAATGTCAGCGTCAGCTTTATCCCTAGTGCACATTAAAAATAACAAACTTTACTGACAGACTTTAAAAGTTGGTTAAAACAAAAACGGGAAAAAATAAAATCACATAAACATGAGAAAAAAGTAACATGAAAAGCAAGAAGTCCAATGAAAACCTCGTGGATATCAAGCTCTGCGTTGGGAGTTGAACCCAGGTGCAGACACGGGGAAATCGAGGGTAAAATAAAGAACAACTTTTTATTTAAGTAAAAACAAAACAAAAGCTGTCGTGGCAACAAAACTTACAATAAGGACCATGGAGGAGCAGAGCATGAGGGCTGGGAAGCACAATCCACAGACCAAGTGGAGACAGAGATGCTGAACTTAAGGGACACTGATGAGACAACGATGAACACCTGGGGGGATCGGGGTTGGGAACAGGTGAAGCAGGAGCTGACAACATGAGGGTGGAAACACTGGAGAAGAAAAGGAAACACACATAAAATAACCGAAGAATCTAACGAAATAAGACAAAACACTCAGATAAAACAGATTCTGTCAGGATCACATCCTCTGTCCCTTGCCTCGCTCACAGCCCTTCATTCGTGTTTTCTGCTCAGTCACTCTGCCACACCCCCTCTGCACTCACTGCTTCATCAGCGCTCATGCTCTACACCTGTTCCCCTCACTATTTAAGATCCATTCTCACTCTGACTCCTGGCCAGATTATCAGACCTTTCATGGTGCCTGTTATCCTGTCGTTCTTGTTCACACCTTAATGCTTTTCCTTTTATTTATTTTTTTCTGTTTCGTGATATACAAACACCACAAACCTTTTCGCAATTCTACCAAGTAGTAGACTTTTGGTGAATCATTCATGAAACTTTGGCTAAATGTAGTAACTATTTTCAGTTAGACTGGAAACTGAACCTTTTGAAATAATATAAAGTGATATCATCTACATACAAGTTGATCAACATTTTTAGTGCCCCTTCAAACCTTCTATGAAACTGTTTGACTACCAGCTGTGATTTGTCAGAACTCCATTTACACTTTTGAGTCCTCCATGGTCCAAATGGGTGATCAAGCCCCTTTTTTTAAACATCAGTTACGCTTTTATTTCTGAAAGTAGACTAAAATGAACTTTCCAAGCACAAGAAAACAAAAACAATAGATCAACACATTAAATAAAGTAAATATATTTTATAATAGGTTTAAAGTTTGAGGTTTTAATGTTCTGATACAACAATTTAGAACTAAATTGACACCCCCCCCCCCCCCCCCCCGAGTCCTTTCATCTTGATAGTTTTGACCCACATATGAAAAAGTCTGGGTCTACTGATGCTTTAATTTACCATCAGAACTTTGGTTGGCCTTGTCGCTGTTTTAAGTGCTTTATAAATAAAGTGGTATGGTAAATTGTTTTAACCTTAACTAGTTTGAAGTTAAAACATACATCAATTTTATTTTCTCTCCCTTCTTACAATCGCTGGACATGAAGGGATTGACCTGAAAATCAAGTGCGGCTTTAAAACATGACTGTTCTGGAGTAACTCCTGTTTTATTTTTGATAAAAGGCTGCACATGTTTGAAACCAGCTGGTTCTTGATGCTGCTTTATGTACCTAATATGACACCCCCTTCATTTGGTTTAATCTTATATAAGGTAACTTCTGCCTTTAAAGAAATGGGCCTGTGGTCTGTGACTGCAGGCTCTGTTCTTTTACTGCTGTGCAAAGAAACGAAGGCTTTATTAATATGTGCGGTGTCTCTCCCACACATCTCATTCATTATAGATAACCTTACTGCTTGAATAGGAGAGGGTAAAAAGGTAGAAGTGAAGAGATGAGTGAGCAGGTTTGATTTAAAAAAAAAAGGGGGAGATCAATTTTGAGCTCTAATGTGAATATAGGTCTTGATTTATTTTTTTCACTATACGATTTGTCCCACTTGTTTTATGAGGGGTCACCTTATGTTTGTGCTCAATTTTTATAAAAAGCTACACAGCCCAAAATGTTATCTATGTAAGAAAAATACTGTTGTCGTTAAACACCTGTCCAAACAGTACCTCTGCACCCATTACAGACATGAATTTTCCAACCATAAAATGACGAATCAGACTTTAAGCTGGTTTCCCAACTCTTTAGTTTAGACTTAACGTATGGAAACCATAGAGGAGATAAAAGGTGGAAAAAACAAAACTTTTTACTCTGAGCTGAGAGTTTATTGCACTAGGACCTGACAGTTCACACAGCTCTGTAGACTTGACATGTTCAGAGACGGCTTCAAAAACAAATAGTTTTGGTGTTTTCTGACATTAAAGTGGAGACTGAGGTTTTCTTGCATGGACTCCAATATGGGTCAAAATGACCAAAAAGTTCAATTAGAATGGTTTGAAGGCTAAACAGGCTCTTTTCTTCTACAATTTCTTCTTGCGTCCACATCCTGGGAGGTTGGCTACAGTCCCATGAATCATCTACTTTATTAAAATACTGGCAGCTGTGGTCAGAGGACCATGAAGCTGCACGGAGACGATCTTGTAGCCTTTACCTGTAACATAGACGTCTATAACAGCTCTCACCTTTTGCTTTCTCTGCTCCATGTACAATACAGAGTGGTGAATTGGATAGTTGGTTCTCTTTAAGCTTTAAGGGTTGGAAAAAGTCTTGAAGACACATGTATTGCTAATTCAGGAAAAAAAATTATGCAGATTTTTCCAGTTTCTTTAAAAGGGCCACGGTAGCTCAGTGCCACAGTCTTGTGATCCGGAGGTTGTAGGTTTGAGCCGGGGTTGCATCGAGAAGGGCATCTGGAGTAAAGCAATTGCCAAATTTCTCATGGGAATTTGATTACTGTAGCAACCCCCACAGATGGGAGCAGCCGAATATGCAAAATGTGTATGTGTGTGTGTTTGTGTGTATACAGTAGTCCCTCGTTTATCGCGGGGGATCTGTACCCTGAAGCACCGCAATAAATGAAAAACTGCAAAGTAGGAATAGTACAAGTAGTAAATAGATAGATAGATAGATAGATAGATAGATAGATAGATAGATAGATAGATAGATAGATAGATAGATAGATAGATAGATAGATAGATAGATAGAATTCCTTACAGTAAAATTAAATTTAATTTGCCAGACATAGGCTGAACACGTGGCTATCCTTGTTTCTCAAGTTAAAACAAAGCCACTGCAAATATTAGGCTTTTCTTCTTGTCATCTGTCTCTTACCACAGTAGAACATGTGACTTTACGCTTAGCAACAAAAGAAACTAATCTCTTCTGCCAAGATGTGATTAACAATGTAGTTTAATTTTTGTCATTTGCAGTGAAAAGGTAAAAAAAAAAAAAAAAGTTCCCAGTAAGCAAAGTGAAGTCAACCTAGTGTGATAAAGTAAGACAATGCCACTGTGGATATACGGTACGGCTTAATTGGAGCATAACTCAGTGTCAGGACCTCCGTCTGCAGAGGACACTGCTGAGCTTTTTAATGAAAGGCCATGGAACGTCTGAGACTGCAGAGGTAGAATCAGCAACATTTGGTGTCCATGAAGGAGCTGGATATATGAGAGTAATAAAGGCTCTGAAACTTTCAGCGTGGACTTAGACCGGACAGAGATCCCAAGAGATACAGCTAGATTTCTGGACTCCAGTTTGGGCGAGCTCTCTGATCGGGGTTTATAGTTCAAAGGTCAAACGGTGTGGATAAAAGGCTATTTTTGTCTCTTTTTTTATCTCGGGCAACTTTTGCACATAATTCTCTCAGTAACCGATTGATAGATATGGAACCTTTTAAATGTAAACATACGGTTGCTGCTGTGTAGCTTTCACACATTTCCTCATTTAAAATGAGTTTTCTTTACAATGTTGTATGCTTGTTGTGCGCTGCCGCAGGTAGAGGAGTTTTATCATCTGGGCATCTTGTTCCTGAGAGATGGGAGGGTGGAGCAGGAGATGAATTGATGGATTGGGGCCTCGTCATCAGTAATGAGGGCGTTGCTTCGGTCAGTCATGGTAAGGAAGGATGTGAGCGAAAAGGTAAAGCTCCCAATTTACTTGTCTATGTCCCAACTCTCACCTGTGGTCATGCAGTTTGGATCATGACCAAAAGAATGAGATCCTGGACACAAATGGCCAAAATGAGCTTCCTTTGTAGGGTGGCTGAGCTCAGCTTTAGAGCCAGAATGAAGAACTCCATCATCCGGGGAAGCTCAGGGTACAGCC